ACTAGGCATGATCAAATACGGTGCAAAATAAGATGACACATAGGAGTATGTAGACCCTGGATCAAATAGCACTGAAGCATCCCTACTACAAACCAGAACAGTACATGTGATGACTACATCGGAAGCCTCAGCCTCAGGCCTGGCTGGAAGAGCATAACATCGGGGCTGGGCCCCACCACTCTGAATCATATCTCTGGGACGACCTCTTGCTGGCTGGCATCCACCTTTAGCGGCCTGACCTCCACCTCTAATACCTCTACCTCCACCTCTAGCACCACTACCTCCGCCTCTAGCTGGCTGAGTGGGCGGTGGAACACTCGGTGCCTGAACTATGGCACGGGAACCCTGGTGCTGAGAACTGCTCGGTGCTCGAGGGCAAAATCTAGCAATATGCCTCATGTCACCACAAGTAAAACAAGCCCTCGGCTGCTGGGGCTGACGACCCTGAAAACTATAAAGCGGGGGTGCAATGATAGGAGCTGGCGATGCACTATAGGACTACTGATCAGAATACTGCATGTGAGAACCACGGCCACATGGAGCACCGTAAGAAGCCTGGAGTGCTGACTGAAAAGGCCTAGGAGGATGGCCTCTACCAAAAGAATCTCTGCCTCCAGATGAGGCACCACTGAACCTGCCCAAATGACGAGGCCTCTTGTCAGACCCCTGACCACCCCCCTGTGATAAAACCATCTCAACCTTCCTAGCCACATTAGCCGCATCCTGAAAGGAAATCTCGCTCCCCGTCTCCTTGGCCATCTGAAGTCGAATGAGTCCCTCAATGAACTTCCTCTCTCTCTCTCTCTCAGTGGGAAGTATAAGAAGAGCATAACGGGCCAAGTCAATAAATCTGGTCTTGTACTGTGTAACAGTCATAGAACCCTGCTGGAGATGCTCAAACTGCCTCTGATAGTTCTCCCTCTAAGTGATAGGAAGAAACTTCTCCAAGAATAGCTGAGAAAACTGATCCCAAGTTAGAGCTGGTGACCCAGCTGGCCTAGCCAAGCAATAATCTCTCCACCAAGTCTTGGAGGATCCAGACAGTCGAAAAGCAGCAAAGTCGACCCCGTTGGTCTCCACTATCCCCATGTTCCTGAGAACCTCATGACAACTGTCCAAATAATCCTGGGGATTCTCACAAGATGTACCGCCATAAGTAGTAGTGAAGAGCTTGGTAGAACCTATCCAACCTCCACAAAGCCTCCGAAGATTTAGTTGATCCATCACTGGTCTGTGCTGCTGCTCGGCTGAAGAAGCGGTACGTGACCTCGCCATCCGTGAAAGAACAAGAGTAGAGGGTTCAATTTAGCATTGAGAGAACAAAATCGCACGATAGGAAAGAATAGATGTGAAGCTTTTCCTAACTCTGTAGCCTCTGGGGATAAATACAGACGTCTCCATACCGATCCCTCAGACTCTACTAAGCTTGTCCGTGAATTGTGAGACCCAAGTAACCTAGAGCTCTGATACCAACTTGTCACGATCCGAATTTCCCACCCCCGGGAGTCATGATGGCGCCTACTAGTGAAAGCTAGGCAAGCCAATTATTTCAACTATTTACCCTTTTCCCATTTTTATTCCTTTAACAATTATGAATCAACATTATATAATCAGCAAAATTAAATATGCGGAAGAACAAATTATAACCATTTAAATGTTATCAACACAGTTCCTCAAACATAGACTACCAGAACTGGTGTCACAATTTCACAAACTGTCTAGGAGTACTACAAATAAGGGTTCGAAAGATAAATACAATGTTGTCTCTGAAATACATAAAAGAAACAGAATGAAGGGATAGAAGGAGACGCCAAGGCCTGCGGACGCCTGCAGGACTACCTCGGGTCTCCAAATGGACTGAAGGCAGCAACCCAAAGCTAAGGTCCGTATGCTCCAGTACCACGATCTGCACAAAAGAGTGTAAAGTGTAGTATCAGCACAGCCGACCCCATGTGTTGGTAAGTGCCTAGCCTAACCTCGGCGAAGTAGTGACGAGGCTAGGACCAGACTACCAAATAAACCTGTGCAGTTAAATCATATACAGCGAAAAATAAAGGCAAAACTTTACGATTAAAGATAGGAAGGGGGAATCATGCTGCGGGGAACAACAAGTATCAACAGAAAAACCAACAGTTGAATGTAGAGAAACTATAACTCAGTTATCAATAAAATCAGGAAATCAAAGACAAGTAGACATGTGATACCGTTGCAGGCGTGCAACCCGATCCCAAATCATATAGTACCGTTGCAGGCGTGCAACCCGCTCCCATTTCATATAGTACCGTTGCAGGCGTGCAACCCGCTCCCATTTCATATAGTACCGTTGCAAGCGTGCAACCCGCTCCCATTTCATATAGTACCGTTGCAGGCGTGCAACCGCTCCCATTTCATATATCAACACCAATCATAAAAGAATCCCGGCGAGGGAACAATAATATAACAACAACATCCCGGCAAGGGAATAATAATACAACAACAACATCCCGGCAAGGGAACAATAATATAACAACAACATCCCGGCAAGGGAACAATAATACAACGACAACATCCCGGCAAGGGAACAATAATACAACAACAACAACAACAACCCGGCAAGGGAACAATAATATAACAACAACATCCCGGCAAGGGAACAATAATATAACAACAACATCCCGACAAGGGAACAATAATATAACCACAACATTCCGGCAAGGGAACAATAATGATAATCATCATATTAAGCATGAATAAACCATGACGGAGTCACAACAATAACAAAACAAGACTCACGGGCATGCTTGACACTGACGTATAGATACACGTCACCATGCCTATACGTCGTACTCCACAGTTAACACATAGCAAATAAGACACAACTCCTAATCCCTCAAGCTAAGGTTAGACCAAACACTTACCTCGATGCCACGAACACAATTCAAGCCTTAACTACCGCATTACCTCTTGATTCCACCATCAATTCGCTCATATCTAGCCACAAGTTACTTAACTATATCAATAAATGCTAAATGAATCAATTCTAATGCATGAAAATAGATTTTCTAGAGTTTTTCCCAAAAAGTCAAAAATCGACCCCCGGGCCCACATGGTCAAAACTCGAGGTTCGAACCAAAACCTGAAAACCCGATTACCCATTCACCCACGAACTCAAATATATAATTTATTTTGAAATCGGACCTCAAATCGAGGTCCAAATCCCCAAAATTTGAAAAATTTAAGTTCTACCCAAAACACCCAATTTTCCCCATGAAAACCTTTGATTTTGAGTTGAAATCATGAGAAGATGTTAAAGATTAATAAAAACGAGTTAGAAATGACTTACAATCGATTTGGAAGAGTACTTTTCTTTGAAAAATCGCCCAAAGGTGTTTAGTTTTGAAAGTGTTTGAAAAATGAAAGATTTTCGGCTAATTTACGAATTTGCAGGTCGCAGATGTCGCAATTGCAACCAGGGTTCGCAATTGCGAACCCTTCAGAAGACTGTTCTCTTCGCATTTGCGACCACCCCATATTTTTGAGGGGTTCTCATTTGCGAGGCAGACGTCGCTTTTGCGACTAGGGTCCTCTGCATTTGCGACCAAATGATCGCATTTGCGATCAGGCCTGCCCAGGCCTTCTTTCGCATTTGCGATGTTTTATTCGCATTTGCGAGCCAGGGTTCGCAAAATGCGAAGCCTGCAGACCTGCAACATACCAGCAACTTCCTAAGTGCAAATTTCACTCTGTGGCTTATCCAAAACTCACCAGAGCCTTGGGGCTCCAAACCAAACATGCACACCAACCTAAAAATATTATACAGACTTGCTCGTGTAATCAAATCATCAAAATAACATCAACAACTATGAATTGAACCCCAAATTCATGAAATCATCCAAGAACACCCAAAATTCCAATTTCTCAACTTTAAGTCTGTTTTATACCAACCCAATCCCGATCCTTACCAAATTTTACAGATTCAACCAAATTATCATTTCAAACTTGTATCGGGCTCCGGAACTAAAATACGGGCCCGATACCATCAAATTCAAACATATTTCATTTCCAAAAACTCATATATATTCCAGAAAACAATTTTCTTTAAAAATTCGTTTCTCGGGCTTGGGACCTCGGAATTCGATTCCGGGTATATGCCCAAGTCCCATATTTTCCTACGGACCCTCCGGGACCATCAAATCACGGGTCCGGGTCCGTTTACCCAAAATATTAACCGAAGTCAACCTAAATTCATTTTAAAAGCAAAATTCATCATTCTTCACAGATTTTCTCATAATGGCTTTCCGGATACACGCCCGGACTGCGCACGCAAATCGAGGTGAAACAAAAAGGAGGTTTTAAGGCCTCGGAACACAGAATTTACTTTCAAAACGAGTGATGACGCGTTTTGGGTCATCACACTGACTATTTTTAGGATCCAATGAAACCGGCAAGAAGGGTATCGAAAAAGCAAAATAAAAGAAATGGTTAATTTTTTTCATGTAGTTAATATCGAATGATTATCTATATTTATTGAGAAAGTGTAAATTTTAAGATTATTTACATAAAATTCAAATAACTTAAATATTTGACATGATTAGTGTCCGCGCATCTATACGGGTACTAATACTAGTCTTTAAATATATTATAAATGGTGAATATATTTTAAATAGCATATTTAAAATTTCAACCCCCCCCCCCCCCCCCCCTTTTCTACAGCTTGAAACCACTATCTCTCGTTAAGCTCAACCTTAACCAAAACCGGCTTGCAAGCTGAAGCCCATTATAGCTAATTCAAACGTCGTCGTTTATCTGCTCTTTCAAGCTAAAACCCTAAACCCTGTAAATCTCTAAACATTCCCACTTTCTCCATTTTCTCAGCTTTAGTTCTTCTTCTCCAATGACGTCAGTAGCTTTCAGAAGCTCAAATTCAAAGCGTCTGTTTACACTTTCACCTCAAATCTACTACAATTCCTGCTGTAGAGGATCAGCGCCCACTCAGTTTAACGCAAATGAGAGTCCCGCATTTTTGAACCACCACTGGTGGAGATCCATGGCCACTTTTACTCGAACGTAAGATTTAAAACTTTTTATTTATCTAGAATTTTTGTCTATTAGTGTAGTGATACGTGTTTATAAAACTTGGCTTTTTAATGGCAAAATTGTGTAGCGTTATAATGAAATGAAGTTCTAATAGAGCAGGAATGTATATAAAAGATAAATTTACTTGGTCCGATTACTTTGAGTTGAGCATAGTTGATTGATTGATGGGTCATTGGAGTATGATCACACATAAAGCAATTTTGTTGAGGAAAAAATATTAAATTTTATTGTTTAGGAACGTGCATATTAGCTTATAAGTGTGAGAATCCCTAATTTAAGGCAAACATTTAGTATTGGAATGAATGTTTGACCTCCTCTGGTTTAGGATTGAGACGTAGTTGATAGACTGATTATTATGATCACAAATATATCAGTTTTGGTTGTTCTCAGTTCTTACTATATGAAATATTAAATGCAAATGCAGCATTATTTTGAATCCATAGTGGACATCAATGACCGCCTTCAGTTGTAAGATTAAAATTTTCTTTTGTTAAGGAAAAAAGAAGATGATGAAATTGTTATTCTTTAGGAACTTGTATATTAGTGTAGGGATAAACACGAGAACCGCTAAGTTGTCTTGAAAGGCTCGACCCCGACTAGTCAGGGATTGAGGTGCAAATGAGTTCGAATAGAGCGAAATGTATATAGAACATATTTATACTTGACCTGCTTAGTTCAGAACTAAGTCGTTTGTGATTGATTGATTGGAGTATCGACCAAACATATATCAGTCTTGTTTGTTCTCAGCTTTACTCGATGAAACGTTAAATACAAATGCAGCTCCTGCATTTATTGAACCCCTGGTGGAGATCATGATCACCTTCACTTGTAAGAGATTTGTAGATTGGCGTATGGTGAGAATACCTAATTTGTCTCAGAAGGAAAATTATCTAGTATTAGAATGAAATGAGTTCCATTAGTATGGGATGTATATGGAGGATTCATATGCCCGACGCTGACTAATTTTGGGTTGAGGCTCAGTTGATTTATTGAATAGAGTACCTGAGCACACGTGTAGCAGGCTTGCTTGTTTCTTTATGTATGTATATGTTGGATTACGCTCGTTTGTAGTTTCCACTTTAGTTATGCAAACTGACTTCATGCCTGGACTTGTAATGATGTGATATCTTTTTCCTGAAACTGTGGCGATTTGAGTTTTTCTGGTTGCATGGAGATGTGAAGAGCAAGGGAAAAGGCTAAATTAAGGAAGGGCTTGTATGAAGTGCTCTCCGGCTAGTGTGAATAGGGGAGGGTGGGTGTATATTGTGTATTGACTTTCCTTTCTTTCTTCCTGTACGCATCTATGGTGGACACAATTCTTCTTTAATTCCATTTAAATGATGCAAAATTCCTTTAAGCTTGGACATTTTTAAGATTTTATATTTTGTTGTGAAGACCCAACCTCTACTAGAATGCTAAGTTGCTCCGACATGGCAGTTTAGGTGCCGCACCCGTGTTGATACGACACTAGTACGGGTGTGGGTATGGGGTCCATACTGGATCTAGTCAAACAATTTTAGGTACTTTGACCACGATGGACGGAAAAATTCGAGACGAGATACAATTTGATGCTCGAAATCAGAACTAAAACTAGGGTAAATTTGAAGAAAATAGCATACCTTATCTACGAAATCAATCCTTTACTTATCTACAACTTGAGAATAAAAAAGAAATCCGCACTTTACAAGCGATACGTAATTATTCCACAAAATTTCTATATATATATATATATATATATATATATATATATTGAATTTCAGAAACAGCCTCTCTACCCTATCGGGTAGGGGTAAGGTCTGCGTATACACTACCCTTCCTAGACCCCTCACCTGTGGGATTTTACTGGGTTGTTGTTGTATTTTTTGAATTATTTTTAGTCGGATCCCTACACCGGTATCCATACTAGGATCCATATTCCCGAATTTTAGAGTTCACATCTCGAAGGATCCGATCTCTAGATCCGAACCCATGTTGGACACCCGCACCCGTGTCCGAGCAACTTAGCTAGAATGTTAGATTAAGTCACTAAATTCCTAGTGGAGTGCCTGAACACCCATTGTGCTGTTTTAGCTTCTCTTTCTATACGCATATATGTTGGACAGAGTTCTTCTGTAATTCCAATTTTGATGCTGCAATTTCCCTTTCATGCTTGGACTTGTGATAATTTGGTCTTCTAATCTTAAGAGCCACCTTCACTCGGATGTAAAAATAAACTTTCACTAGATTAAGAGAATACCATTATAGCTGTTTTGCTTTTTCGTCCAATAAGCTTATGAGTTCTTCTTCAATTCTATTTTGACAATAGAGCTTCTTTATCCGTATTAAGAGGCACCTTCACTCAAACATAAGATTAAACTTCCTCTGGATTAACCAAAAACCCATTTAGGTTTTTCCTTGATTGATCAGGAGCGAGTATGCTTCTTTCTTCCTCTATGCATGTATGCGAGTCTTCTTCTGTAATTCCATCTTAAATGATGCAAATTCCTTTCGTGTCTAGACTTGTACTGATTTCATATATATTGTTCCGGAAATTTGGAGATTTTTGAGTTTCTCTTTTCTGTTTTGATGGAAATATAAAGATCAAAGAGAAATGCCAAATGATCAGCAAAATTACGAATCAACCCTGAAGTAGCTGTGGTCAGCTATATGAATCCCTGATGTCTATTCTGCTTTAGTTAGAGCCATATTGCTGTCCTTATACGCTCTCAGTCGACTATGCCAAACAGAAATTGAAAATTACACCAGCCAATTTCTGTTCTCATCTAATAACATCTTCTGGGTTCCTGCAGAAAACCTCATGTTAATGTGGGAACTATCGGCCATGTTGATCATGGAAAGACTACTCTGACTGCCGCAATTACAAAGGTAAGGTTGGTTAGTCTTGGTACTTGTTATTTTGCTTCCCTCCGTCTGCTACATTATCCTTTTCTCATTCAGTTATCTAATCAATCCGTGACACGAGAAGAACCTGTCCCTTTTCTAGGTCCTAGCAGAAGAAGGAAAGGCTAAGGCTGTTGCTTTTGATGAAATTGATAAAGCCCCTGAAGAGAAAAAGAGAGGAATTACTATCGCTACGGTATGGATGTTGTGCCATTTTTGTTGACACTCTCACTTTTAATTCTTTTTCTTTTGACACTGGAACTGATGTATTGTAGGCCCATGTGGAGTATGAGACGGCTAAAAGACATTATGCGCATGTCGATTGCCCAGGACACGCTGATTATGTTAAAGTGAGATGCACAACTCTCAGTTATCGTACTTTATGATTTTAAGTGCTTATTACGTAGTGTTTTATGTTACTTATTAAACAAGTGCTTATTACGTGGGGAATGCTTATTACCAGCAACCCAGGAAATACTTAGTATCAAGCTTATCTTTGCTTGAAAGAGAAACTATTTGTATGCAAATAATTCTGTGTCCATGAAAGCTTATCTTTCACGGACTGTGATGTCGTATAACAGCAATCATTGAAAGGATAACTGTAATTGGTTCCCCAAGATTTCCGTTGTAAGGTGGGCAGAAAGATAACAGTCATAAATCCCATCTGCTACCATATTGGAAGTGGCCATTTTCTCTATCTGTTAGTGGAAAACTAGTATAGAAAGTACAATCTTTAGATCTTCATTGTCTAAAAGACTATTTTTAGAAGCACTATATGTTATTGCCCTCTCCCCTACAATGTTACATATGTTGACCAATTTTTAAATGACATTCTATGATTTTTGATTCTCTTGAAGATAAACTTATAGGTTTTGGAAGTATATCAAAAGCACTACTAGTTGAAAACTTTTGCAGTTCGAAACGTCAAGGGTGCTTACCTAGTCCTTAGTCAAGAGAGGGGTGGTCTAGTAGAAGACATCCTCAACTGTTATCCATAAGATTGCAAGCTCGAGTCGCCAAAAGGAAAAAGGAGTAAAATCCATTGTTGGGTCCAGGGGAGGGGTTTTTTGGAGGGTAGAATTTACCATATCCCTCAAAAAGTAGTCGTTCGCATAAATGGAATTAATTTGGCTCTTAAGAAGCTAAAAGTAACAATTTCTGGGACAATGTGTGTGATAGCTAAAGCATGTCAGCTAGTAATGCATCTGTCTGAATTCCCTCTTTAGATAATATTTTTTCAGGTATTGTAGGTTATGCTTGTCAGTGTCAAAATTTGATTTCCAGTACAAGATAATAATTTTTATTCCCTAATACAAGCTCCCGTTTGTCTGCTTTCTCATAGTTTCTTTTTGCATAGAATATGATTACTGGAGCTGCCCAAATGGATGGTGGTATTCTAGTCGTATCTGCTCCTGATGGACCCATGCCACAAACAAAGGAGCATATTTTGCTTGCACGCCAGGTGGATATGTGTCATCTTGTGGATAGATTAGTAATTAACTGAAAGCTCCATGTGGTAATTCTAATTTACTTTGTGCCTACATTTCACAGGTAGGTGTACCATCACTTGTGTGCTTTCTAAACAAGGTTGATGCTGTTGATGATCCGGAACTGCTGGAACTTGTGGAAATGGAACTCCGAGGTAACCAGGTTTTCTGCCACTTGTGTGAAATATATTGCATTTTGAAATCTTGGTAACTGCCAAGGAGTCACGCCGGTAACTGCCATAACATGTTTGCCAAATTTCCTTACAAGATCTTCCCTGTTTCGCAGAGCTTCTTAGTTTCTACAAATTTCCTGGGGATGAAATCCCTATCATTCGTGGTTCAGCTCTGTCTGCATTACAGAGTACCAACGAAGAAATTGGAAAAAAGGCTATTCTAAAGTTGATGGAGGCTGTAGACGAATATATCCCCGATCCAGTGCGTCAGCTTGATAAACCATTCTTAATGCCAATAGAAGATGTATTTTCAATTCAGGTAACTAAATGATCTTTAGCTTTGTGTTGTTCAAGAGTTTTTTCAGAAACATCTTTTGAAATTCAACTTTGCTTTCAAGTTTCTAATTTTGTATGGATCTTATTTCTATGTTTTTAACATTAAACAAATCCTTTTGCTGCAAACTGAGGAAAAAAAAGGAAAAAGAGTCTGCTGGAATCCCAAAATAAGTAATGCTTCTTCAGCGCTTGACCCTGTGGTATTGATTAGTATTTTATGATTATTTCCTCTTTATGTTTCATAGGGACGTGGAACTGTTGCTACTGGCCGTGTTGAACAAGGAACCATAAAAGTTGGAGAGGATGTGGAGATTTTAGGGCTGATGCAGGTAACATGTAATCCTTTTGCTTATTATTCTTCATTGGGGGAGGCAATTATTGTTTCATAATTTGTAATTTCCAGGGCCAGTTATCTGGATTGGATCTGCTTGTTCTCCCTGTTTGGGTTGAAACTATTGACGACAAAAAACATGACTGTCATCACCTGATTAATAACCAAATAACTTTTTCTTTATCTTATTGGCATTATGGGCTACTGGATAGAATTATACACAACCTTATCTGTTAAAAATACAAGCAATGCATTAGATGAGTTGTACTATATAATTATCTGATTTTAAGACATGCCCTATTCATAAGCTTTGGCTGAGGTTATCCACTGTTCTGATGATTAAGGTGCTTGAGCCAATCTTAGTTGGCTTTTGGAGTTTTAAGAGCTCTGATTCCTTTGTTAAATACCTGATACATGATAAAGTATGTAATTGTGCTCTTTGTAACAAATGCTCGTAATATCATTTTTCTTTTATAGGGAAATTTAAAATCTACAGTTACTGGTGTTGAAATGTTCAAGAAGAGCTTGGATTATGGGCAAGTAAAAATCTAACCTGATCTTTATAACTTCTCTAAGAGTTTCATACAGCATTAACTGATCATTTTTTCCTCCCTTTCGTTAATATTCTTGTTAGGCTGGTGATAATGTTGGGCTTCTTCTTCGTGGCTTGAAACGAGACGACATTATGCGAGGAATGGTACGTTTGAAATTCTGTGACTTTCTTTATTGAACTTCTTACCTGTATTCCGCTATTATTTTCATCTATTACTAGCCCTACTGTAATAGAATTCATGTTGAATCCGTATTGTTTGAAATTTATTAAAAGCATTTTAGAATCAGGTTCCTTTTTGAAATGTTGCTATTTAGGTGCACGCTCTATCATCAGCCTAAAAAGAGAATTCCTTGTTCAGTTTTCCACCTTAACGACAAAATAGGATTAGTAAAATTTGATTTAATCTTGTGGTGATTGTTCAAGCCGTGATATGATTTGTGATGAAGTCGGAATCTGAATTGTTAAGAAAATAATGTGACTTTCTTTTACATACATATTTTGCAAACATTTATAGACCTTTTGTTTTATAGGTGATTGCAAAGCCTGGAAGTGTGAAAACATACAAGAAATTTGAGGCAGAGATATATGTACTTACAAAGGATGAAGGTGGTCGACACACTGCTTTCTTCTCAAATTATATGCCTCAGTTTTACATGAGGACTGCTGACATCACCGGCAAAGTGGAGTTGCCTGAAAATGTCAAGATGGTTATGCCTGGGGATAATGTTACTGCTACTTTTGAGCTGATGTCTCCGGTTCCCCTTGATGCAGGTGAATAAATTCTTCAGGCTTTTGGTTTTCTAAGCAAATATTCTTCTAGAATTTTCTGATTGTACTTGTTTTTACCCCCTTGAAGATGGACAATGATATATTTGATGTCCATTATCATTGTAGAATTACAATTCATTCTACTTGCAGAAGATAAACTTTACAAAATTAACTCGATTTTGCAAAGTTAATCTTAGTAGTCCAGTTGTTTGGCTACTTGAACTTTCACCTTGTTGGTGGGGGTTCGATTCCCCACATCGTAATCCTCTCCCCTATAAACAATAAAAACATTATAAAAAAACTTTAGAAAAATCTCCTTTATTTTTCAAAATCACCTCACTTGTAGTGGCTGATGGTGTTGCTTGTACAAGGGATTTGCCTTCGCTGTTGTTTTTGTCTCATTACTGATGTGATAATCAATCTTTTACAAAATAATTGGATTCATGGTCGTCACGGGCTTGGTGCTCCCGGATTGCTGCTCGTAATCTAGGTTATCATGGTACCTCATCATGGACCTAATCCTGTGAAAGATAATGCAATGGGGCTGATGAATTAGATTATCTGAAGACTTAGGGATTGGACCAATCATGATATTTCTTTGCTGAATCTTGTGACTAGATCAGGCAAGAAATATTCTTTTGGATAGTAGAACCAAATATTGTTCCTTTGGTCTTTGCATATGAAAAGGATAAAATGAGGTGTTCAGTGTCTGATGTTGCAGGGCAGATGTGATACTTTTGGGTAGCTTACCAAATGTTTGACTTGTGTCCTAACATGCTCTTGGAAAGTTTTATGAATACTTGCTTCTCAATTTGGCACGTGTGTCCCGGTTCTCCTGGATAAGTGGATTTATATTTTAGAAATGATACTCAGTTTAAGTATTTTATCTAATATTGTAGAACAGTTCTGATTGTTTCAATGCTATCTGTGTACAATTTGCAGGACAAAGATTTGCTTTGAGGGAGGGTGGCAGAACGGTTGGCGCTGGCGTTGTTTCAAAAGTAATAAGCTGAGGATTCATGTTTTAGTGGGATTTTAGGTTCACTCTTGTTTATTCTCTAGACAGGTTGATGAAAGAAAGATTGATTGGTTCATTGTGGAAAATACAAGACTTGACAATTGCTGATGTAGTTTTCATTTGATGCAAATATTTTTATGTCAGTGTCAAAAGAATCCAAGTCTTGACATTTGAATATACCAGCAAATGAGTCTACCTCGTTATATCTTCGGGGCATTTGCATCTATACTCGCTTTTTGTGCCACATTTTAACCTGTGCCCGCTTTGCAAAAAAAATTGCAAGCGTACCCGCTTTTTCACATAACTTCAGCACACGGGGCTGAAGTAGCAAAGGCAATTACACAAAACTTCAGCATTTTAGTAGCTGGGCCTGAAGTAAAGTTTTTTTTTTTTTAACTCGCGAAGCTGAAGTTTGCCGGTTATAGAGCTGAAGTTTTATTTTATAAGTTTTTGTTTAGTAATCGGGAAACTTCAGCTCTAGAGCTGAAGTTTGCCAGTTATAAAATACTTCAGCTTTAGAGGTGAAGTTTTTGTTTAGTAACCCGGAAACTTCAGCTCTAGAGCTGAAGTGTTTTCCAGTTAAAAAATAAGAACTTCAGCTCTAGAGCTGAAGTTTTCAAGTTATAAAATAAAAATTTCAGCTTTAGAGCTGAAGTTTTTGTTTAGTATACAGCACAATCCAATAACAAATGCAATCAAATAACAAATGCAATAAACACCTTTGAAGCTTAGCAAGGAGTATTAAACAAATGCAAAGAGCATAAATTATTATTAATACAAAAAAAAGATGTGATTTATGGGCTCTAGCTTAAATAGATGACCTAGAAGATATAGTAAAAATTGCACGGGCGCCCTATTTGGTAGGGCGCCCCTTTTTAACATCTGCTCATGATAACACTCTCTTAGCCATATAAATAATTGTGGTGTTCGATCCAACTTATACGTATCTCGACTAATTCACCTAGTATTTGCTACCTACCGTGGCCACAGTAGTACTAGATACCACTGTTTAACCAGGTTTGAATAGATATGAGGAAATCATTAGAGTAGTATTTTTCACATGGTGAAGTATGATTCCTAATTTTTTGTGGTTCAAGATCTGCCCTTTTTTTGTGGTAAACATGGTCTAGAATAAATTTAGAGTCCAACTTACCTCTTATTATTATTATTCTCCTTAATAGGTTCATTAGAATCGCAATTAGAAATCTAGTAGTAATATTTATTTATTTTAATTTAGAATTATTTCAATTGAATTTTCTTATTAGTTGGAACTTTTAGTTATTTTGGTAGAAATTTGATATCTTTTTTTCGCCTCAGCAAATCATTTCTTTTTCACAAGGATCATTGTGATGTCTGCTTAACTCTTTGGGCGGTTTCGTAATGTTCCTCACCAACGATCCGAGGTTGAAGCATGGTTGACGTTGAATCTAAAGGATCTACTACTGGATATATATCTTTGGCAGCCAATCCTTTTGATAGTACGGTTTAAAAAATTAAAATGTTTGAAATTACCTTTAATAGGTTTTAAAATTACCTGATTGTGTAAAAACAAAAAAGGTGCACCATCGATGGATATTAGTTAAACTCATTTTGACTATCTTTTGGATGTACGGATCGTTCCAACATTAACAATTCAAAGTATTTTTTTATTTTTATTATATCGTAATTCTTCCAATCTTTTTATTTTAAGTCATCGAGTCTTTGCTAGAATATTTGTTCCAAATATTAAACAGACATCATAAATGGGAACCATGTGTAAATAAATAAACAATAACATTCTCAATCTTAATTACTCAATTCTAAAAGATCTTAACTGTAACTAAAATGAGGAAGATAAATTTTACATTATCAGAACAATATAACCTACTGCAGCAAGTTATTTTTGTCTTATTTTTTCTTAACTATATATAATTATTTTTAAAATAATCTAATTGTATTAAAAAATTTATATCGTCAGTATATATATAGAAAGTTAATCTAGAATAAGATATCATGTTATTGTAAAAGTTGCTACCATTGAAGTAATATACTACTTAATATATTGATATTATATTTGATTTCTTTTTTTAGGCTTCAAATTAATGAGTTTCCATTTTGAGACAATCTCCAAAAAAATCAAATCTTAAATTACCTTTTTAGGCGTGAGTAAAATCTTGAGAATCGAATAATCTCATTATTAAAATTCCTAGCACTCATCTTCATCATGTATTTGCTCTTTCTTCCTTTCTTCCATTGTCATTTTCAGTATATTCACAGGTTAGTTTAATTTATTTTAATAACTCAAAGATTCCCTTGATTCCTATATTTCTTTAATGGTGAATTAATTGTCAATCCAATAACAAAATCATTGTGCAAAAAGAATTTGTATATGTTAAATATAAGTATATGTATATATCTTTGTTCTCACTAATCTCTCTTTTGTTTATTTACCAGTTGTTCTAGAGACCAGTAAATAATTTCCATGGAGCCCTTTGCAGACGTGGTAAGTTGTCTCTGTTTGACCTATAGATCACGGGTTCGAGCAGCGGCGGATTTAGGGGGCGGAAGGATGTTCACCTGAACCCTCTTCGCCAGAAAATTACACTACATATATAAGGCAAAATTCGGTTTGTACCTCTATATATTATATTTTGAATCCTCTTACCCTAAAGAATAACTCAATGGTCAACGGGGTTCAAAATCTTTGTTAGGTTGTTGGTTCAATTCCCACTGGCCACAGTTTCTTCTAGTTTTTTCAACTTTTTTCTTTTTTGAACCCCTTTACTGAAATCCTACCTCCACCACTAAGTTCGAGCTATAAAATTAGCCACTAATGTCAGAGTAGGCTGCCTACATCACACCCCTTGGGGTACGGCTTTTCCTCCGACCTTGCATGAATATAGAATACTTTATGCACCTGGCTGTTTTTTTTTTTTATAGTAATTTTATCAAAATAAGCAAATTCTGAAAGTTTGGTTAAACATGCACTAGTATTATATGATCCGATTGTACAACCTCCAAGGTTCTAATGCTTTCACTGATTTTATTATTATTGATATTATTTTTGCATTTCCGTTTAATTGCCTTTTTTTTTTGTGTGTGTTTTTTGTAGAGTTGCACTTTGAAAGTGAATGTCAACTGTGATTCCTGTAAGATGAAAATGATGGAAGTGTTGCACTCTGTACGAGGTAATTAGTTCCTTTTTTTTTATCTTGTAAATGAATAGTTTATATAAAAATCTTTTATAATGTCAGCGCATAAAATCTAAACTCTTTGTAAATAAGTTATCGCTAAGAAAATAGAGTTGATTCTTGTCTAAAAGAAGGAGGTTTTGAATTTTCATAAAGAATATTAAGAACATAGGCGAACGCACATGACAAGTGCGATCACATCCGCTATTTTTGACTTGAATTATATATATAAAGTAAAAACTTAAAAAAATTATTCATACTCAAATAAGTTTGTTGAAGGGAAGCCTTGGCGTAACTGGTAAAGTTGTTGTCATGTGACCAGGAAGTCACGGGTTTAAGCCGTGGAAGCAGCCTCTTACAAAAATGCAGGATAAGACTGCGTACAATAGACCCTTGTGGTCCGTCCCTTCCCCCGACCCTGCACATAGCGGGATCTTAGTGCACCGAGCGGCCCTTTTTTACTCAAATAAGTTTGTTCATTCTTGATTTTGAATTTGCCTTTGTATAGGAGTATATGCATTGACAATAGATGCAGAACAAGGAATAGCAAATGTTTATGGAGAAGTGGATCCAAACAGATTGTTAATGGCATTGTCAAGGTCAGGACAACATGCAGAATTAATATCAGTGAAATTGAGACATCCAAATCTCTCTCAAAGAAGTCCCTATGGCCAAAATAATGGCTATGGCCATAACCATAATAATGGCTATGGCTATAATAATAATAATGGCTATAGTGCAATAGATGGACCTTATGGCTACCATAATTCCAATGGATTGGGTGAGCCAAGCTCTTATTATTCTTCAAGAAGAGCCTTGGTTGATCAACCTTATTACGGTTCGAGCTACCGCAACTCTTCTCCTTATTCTAGCTACGATTCGTCGTCGTCGTCGCTGTACCAACCCGTTATTATTGATCATGTCATCAGGGAAGAACCTATGAACTGGTGCAGTATTCTATAAGGTGAAAGTGGATCCAGTATGTAAATTAACGTGATGGTTCAATTATCCTCTACGAGGTTCTTTTAGTACTGGACTCGTTATAATTTTAAAATTATGAGTTCAGAATTTACTGTTTGTTGAACTTTTGGTGATCATATTTGTTCTATTTTCAAATAATTGAACAGAAACGTCATCCGTTTTGCTGTGATACACTCATTTAATATTTTGTAGCATCTCTTTTTCTTTAGCTAGTTAGTTCTTCTTTTTAGTTTTTTTAGCGAGGATAATATTTTGAGGAACTAATTTATCAGACGGGAAGAATTCCGTTTTACATGTGGCTAATAAAATAATAAATTTGCGATTTTAGAATTTTTCAACAATTTTCTTGTGTAATTGGATATTGTCTTAATCATCATGTAACTAATTAACTAAACAAAGTCAAATTCTTTTGTTTATCTAAAACTTAGCCACACTTGCTCTATCCTTTGCAGAGGGTCAAATTCAATGCAAATTGATATAGATTTTTGCTATTGATGCAGATTTAGAATGTATTCATGACGGTATAAAAAATATTTAAATACTTAAAAGACGACATTTATTTTAAGCATTGGCTGATAATTAAAAAAATGGAAATGTTGGCCTCTAAATTACATTGAATGTGCTAAAATCTTTTATAATTAATCATAAAACCTAAATTACACATTCTTTTTTCTATTAGTACTTTTTTTGGTTTCTCATCCAGACTTTGGTGCTCGTTTTAGAGTCCGACCAATTCGAATTCGCGCCACATAAGGCCCATTAAAAAAAAAGCGCTTCCGACTAGGGATATTCTTATTTACGTGATGAAATTAGGAGGTACACTGAAAAAGTAAGAATATATATCATAAGAATATCTTCACTTTTATCTTTTAACGTTTAATACTATGTTATCCGAGCTCTCAAAAAGTTGTCAAGGTGTAATTGCATAATCTAATTTCATATGGCTTAATTCATCAAAGGTCAACAGTTATGCGTAGTACACACGCTTAAATTGGACATATTTTAAATTAACTTTTATAGGATAATTATGCAATGAGATAATCAAATCTATTGCTACTACTTAATTATAAAAAAGAAAACTTATGAGGTCCATCGAAATTCCACTAAAGCATACATTTGTATCCAACTAATGTACTGGCAATTTTAGGTGGAAATGACATCATCTAGTCACTTTTAAGTATACTGTTAAAAATATATTCGAAGTTTACAATGTATTTAAAGATTAGACAATTCGCTCAAACTTTAGGACACGATGTCCTAGAGTTTAAACCTCAAAGTTCAAACTTTAGGACATCATATCGTAAAGTTCGAAAATTATGTCCAGAAGTTCGAATTTTATGTCATGAGTTTTAAATTAGTAGTTCAGTAATTCAGGACACTTAATCCTGAATTTCGAATTAGCAGCTCAAAAATTCAGGACACTAAGTCCTCAATTTTCAAATTCAAGATACTTAGTCCTGAAATTTGAGTGAATTGGCTTATCTTTAAATACATTGTAAATTATGGATATATTTTAAATAACGGGCTTAAAAGTGGTTATAGGTGCACTTCCTCTACTTGTTCGGTGAGTTAATCCAAATTAAGTTGAAATTGGCTATATTAATTTTCACTATTCATATTATTATACTAGTATATCATAGTTGAGATTCACACATATGACTTAAAGTACCTTTTTAGCCCCTTCTAATGCAAAACTAAAAGTAGTCGTTACTGGAATTTTTCATGTTTTAATATTTTTTTCGTGTAAGAAAATAGCTACTTACTAATAACTTTTTAAATACGGGCTAAACTCTAGTAGCACAAATTAAAAGTGGCTATTTTCCGATTTCTTACCCATATATTTGACTTCAAAATTTATATTAAATATTTTACTTTTAAAATTATACTCGACTTGAGTGAATATTATCGGTGCGCAAAACTTAAACTCCTATTATAAATTAAAGTTTAAATTTTATGCACTAGCAAGGTATAAAATATTCACAGAATAAATGAATTAAATTAATTATATATAATTTCTATAATAAAGTATTACTTAGTAATGTAATAAAAACTTTAACTAAATTACTATAATAAGTGATTTCTATTGATAGTATAATAAATCTTTATAATGTTAAAGACTTATAATTATCATTGTTATTAATTATTTCTTTAACAATAGAGGTATTCAGATTAATATGGGCACATCTCAGTTATCCTATTAATTCGGACACAATTCTACTATTTTTTCCGTTCAATTTTACTTGGCACGTTTTGACTTTTTACGTCATTTAAGAAATAATAAGACTTTTCACGTCATTTAAGAAATAATAAATGAAGTGAATAATATACCATGATACCTATATTAATTGATGCATATTTTATTGAATTTGAAAAAATAATTTGAAATGAGTAATAAATACTGTGGGTATAGTAGGAATTTTTTTTTGTCTTTTCTTGATAAGCGTAAAGTGACAAATAAAAATAAAAATCTATTTTTAGTATACATGCCAAGTAAAAGTGAACGGAGAGAGTATTTTACTTTTTGTGATATGATTTTGTAATCACAAATATTTATGACATGTATTAAACGACAATTTTTTAATATGTTTTGAGCGATAAATTTGTATTCAGAGAGTCTAACTTTTTAATTTTAACCATAAACTATGATACCAAATTTTATATTTTTTGAAATAAAATTTATATATTTAAAATTACATCATAATAATTAATAATTCAAAATATTTGAAAGGTATTTCGAAAATTATGTCATTTGACTCTCGAAATTAATAACTATAAATATAAATATTAAAGAGAAAAGAAGACCCACCACACCACTCATATTCATTGTTCAGTCCATACTTATTCTGTTTTTCGCCGGCGTAAAAACAGCCGGCGCAACTCGCCGGAGCACACCATTTTTTCGACTAAGCAATGAAAACGGAAACCGTACACTCTATCTTCGATACAGTAACGGAGCTAACGAAATCAGCTCAGGAGAAAAACACCGATCCTTTGATATGGGCCATGCAACTTTCTTCAAGTCTCAACTCCGCCGGCGTATCCATGCCGTCCGTCGCCGTCGGCGAAATTTTAGTGAATCATATATGTTGGTCGAATAACGTGCCTATTGCTTGGAAGTTTCTAGAGAAAGCTTTGACGGTTAGAATTGTACCTCCTTTGTTCGTTCTCGCTCTTCTCTCTACCAGGTCCATTTTTTTGCTCCTTCATTTTATTTTATTTTTTGCAATTTTTGTGTCATTGTATTTTTACGAAATGTGTTTAAGACATAATTAAGAAAAAATCAAAGTGTTCCCTCTAACAACTTAAACTTTTTAGATGAGATATGAGATGGTCACACATTTTAATATAGTACAGTCAAATTTCTCTACTATATTATTCTGCCTTTTATAGAGATTGGTTGTTATACACGTATAATAACATTTAACAATTAAATCTTATTTGGTTATTATAGACTATCCAAAAAAGTAATTTTTTTCCATTTTTTCAATATTATAAAAGGAAAAAAATTATTTGAATAAAAGAAAAAACCTTTAATTACTAGGTCCCTTTTTTGCCCCTTCATTTTTTGAAAATTTAGTGTTTTTTTATTTTACGGAATATGTTGAGGACATAATTTTTTTAAAAGCAAAAGATTAGATGGTTGCACAATTTTGATATGGTATTAGAACAATCAGTTTTTTTTTGTTCCTTCATTTTGGTTTAGTGTTTTTTATTTTACGTAATGTGTTGAATGTTGGAAAAAACAGTGGGTTTGGGGGGGTGGGGGGTGGATGCAACATTATTTATAAGTTGATACATGAATTGGCTTTAGTCGAGCTAGGCACTCTCCTAAGATACTATTTCAGCAATGTCAAATGCTTCAGCAAAATTAAATAATAATAAACCAACAAGTTTTTAAAGTATAATAAAAGAAGGAAGAATTAGGAATTTATATAGGAAAAATTGAACACGGAAAGAAAAGAAACAATTGTAGAAGAAAACTTTATAATGATTGCTAATGAATAACGATGATGATAGTCTCAAAGAACAATTGTTGGATGTGTTTCTAATGGTGTAAGAGTGGATGGTTATAATAAGGACTGGTGGCTCTGACACTTGTCCGTAGTGGTTCATGTAAGAGCCACTTATCTATCTTCTTCCATGCAAAAGAACATTTGTCAAGAAATGTTTGAAATGTTGCCACATTGAAGACATAATTGTAAAAAATAAAAGTGTGCACGTTCTAACAGTTTGAACTTTTATATTAGATGGTCACACGCTTCAATATAGTACCAGAGCTGGCAGAGATCCTAGATTCGAGTCTCACCAAAGGAAAGGAATTTTTCATGTGCTTGGCCTAGGCCCGCACGTGAGAGACACGTTGAATGACATATTTAAGAAAATAAAAGACAAGTAAGAAGATAAGGAACGTGTTAAATGACGTAATTAAGAAAAGAAAAGAGATTATCAAGAAAATAAAGAAAATAAAAGCATGATTCTTGTAACAACTTACGCTATAAAAGACATAATTAAGAAAATAAAAGTGTGATCTCTCTAACAACTTAAGCTTTTAGATGTTATAGTCACAAACTTCAACAAATAAGCTGAATGGATACATGGGATTCATATAGCTGATTGAATAAAAGACAGAGAGTTGCATTAGGTTGACGGAGAATTGAAATGGACTTGAATAGAGTGGAATTGATATAGGGGATTCAAATAAGCTGATTCTAACTAGTTCGGGATTGAGCCATAGTTGATTGAGTCTTTTTTGTTGCGTTGATTTTATAATTTCTTTTCTTTTACAGAGTAATTCCTACACGAAGGAGCTGTCCGATGGCATACAGGCTGTATATGGAACTCCTGAAAAGATATGCCTTTTCATTACCATCTCAAATTAATGGTCCAAATTATCAAAAGTACGTCTTGTTCTCCTATTTTGTGCCGTTTTCTTGTATTGTCTCGTTAGTTTGATTCCATAAGAATCCTTTTTTCTTTCGCTAGATGCTTTAGACTATATTACCTGTTGCTAAGATCAGTGTTTTGATTGCCTGTCATTTTATGTCATTCGTGGTAGGTGCCCCCGTAAAATCCTTCGTTGGTACTGAGACTTCATGGTGATGCCTGTCATTTTATGTCATTCGTGGTAGTGTAAACTCCTTCTTTGGTTCTGAGACTTCACGGTTCATCTCAGTCATATCAAGTTCTATATTATGTCCCATAAGTTAAAAGATTTAGTTTGAATTACTTTGGATGAAATATTTGCATGCCATTTTATTTATGGTTTATGTTTAGATAATTATTTATGTGATTTCTGCTGGAGTTACTAATGCTCTTTTTTTTTTTTTTTTTTTTCCTTTTCCTTTTCCTGAGCCGAGGGTCGATTGGAAACAGCCTCTCCGCCCTTTCGGGTAGGGGTAAGGCCTGTGTACGTATTACCCTCCCCAGACCCCACCTTGTGGGACTATACTGGGTAGTTGTTGTTGTTGTACTTTGGATGAAATGGCTCACTTTCGCTGTGTAATCATTCCCTTGGACACTAATCTTCAAATTATAACAGCATAACCTATGACGTTTCCTAGAGTATTCACTTTTTTTCCTTTGAAATGTTATTGACTAATTTGGCATAACTCTTTGTTCAATAGTCTCTTTTTGTCAACAGAGGTTTTTTTGTTCATTTTCTGGTTTTCTATATGTTTTATTTTTCTTTCGGAAGGAGGTCCTCTAATTTATGCCTCAATCTGTTGTGAGAATGATATCTAAGTAAAATTTCTTTGACATAATCTTCCATTGTATGCTCTGGTCATTGTTTGTCCTCCTATATTTCCTGGGAGGTAAACATATGTCCACGTGGTTGAAAACCTATGTTGCTCGGACTCTCCGAAAATGTGTCCGGTTGTGTGTTGGATCCTCGAAAAGTAGTGTATATTTGGAGCCACTACTTATGGAGGATCCGACATAGGTGCGGCAGCATTTTGGAGAGTCCGTGCAACATAGCTGAAACTAATAATATTCATTATTGATTCAAATTCCAAATTAGCATTGATGTTGTTTTGAACTAGTATAATTTTTGTGGATGAATTTCAGTAGAAGAGTTAACTTGTCTGGTACTGCTATTGCAGGATTATGGAGTCGATAAATGATACTCTTCAGCTTTCCCAGATATTTGAACTTCAGGGATCTGAAAGTGGAAAGCATGTGGTTGGATATGTTTTCATGGTTGTATGGCAGTTACTTGATGCCTCGCTTGACGATGAAGGATTGCTGGAGCTGACTGCTGAAAAGAAGTCTAGGTGGCCAGTTGCAACTCAAGAAATGGAAATCAGCAATCGTGATGGCTTTGCTGGGAAAAGAGTTGAACATCGTGAAGGATTATGTAGAATGAACACTGTATTGGCTATTGAAATAATTGGTGAACTTTTTGGGGACAAATTGATATCCATGATTCTTTACTTGGCACGCAAGAACATGTAAGATCATAGAGCTTCCTTCATTAAGTTTTGCGCTGTATCAAATAGCAACATGTTTCTTACTTATGCTTTTTTTCTCAGAGTTTCATTGAGCCATGAAATGAGAAGTAGTGCTTAAAAAAATGCTGCTATGCTAGACTAAGAGATATTGGTGGTAGCTAAATATGCATTTGTTCTTTCTTTAGGCCCACACATTGGGATTCTTTCATGCAGCACTTACAACTTCTAGTGTCAAATTCGGCAGCTCTAAGAAACTCCAAGAATATCTCTCCAGAGGCTTTGGTGCTATTGATATCCAAAAACCTTGGAGTCCTCTCTAGGGAATGCAAAACAAGCTCACGGCAATTTTTTCATGCTGTTATGGCTTCTGGATCACTTGCATTTTCTGCTAGTCGGCGTGATGCTGCTAGTACATCAGTTCTCTGGCTACCAATTGATCTCTTTCTAGAAGATACCATGGATGGACTTCAAGTGGCAGCTACAAGTTCCGCTGACACTCTAACTGGTCGACACTGTAATATCGTCTAAGTGATTTAGTATACCCTGTTCTGACCTGCTAAACTGGAGTTATTTTGCAGGTCTGGTGAAGGCTCTGCAGGCAACTAACCGTACAACATGGCAGGACACATTTTTTGGATTATGGATTTCAGCCCTAAGGCTTGTTAATAGAGTAAGTTGTTAAGGGCTAAATATGGGGTTTCTTCTCGGCCAAGAATTTACATTCCTTTGTATAGAAGGTTAAATGAAACAAATACCAGTATATGCATAAGCAGTTATACTGTTACTATGCTAGACTAATAGATATTAGTGGTAGCTAAATATGCGTTTGTTCTTTCTTTAGGCCCACACATTGGGATTCTTTCATGTAGCACTTACAACTTCTAGTGTCAAACTCATCAACTCTTAAGAAATCTTAGAATATCTCTCTGGAGGCTTTGGTGCTATTGATATCTAAAAACCGTGAAGTCCTCCCTAGGGAACGCAAAACAAGCTCACGGCAATTTCTTCATGCTGTTATGGCTTCTGGATCACTTGCATTTTCTGCTAGTCGACGTGATGATAGAAAACCTATGCTTCCTAGCCATTTATCATTTTCCATCTTCAGCTCTAGGTCTTATTTTCTAACACAATTTTGCTGAGAAGTGCTTCCAAGTTTCAAAGTTCTAGAAACTAACCTAATTTATTTGTTTAGGGCTAAATATGGGGTTTCCTTCTCAGCCAAGAATTTACATTCCTTTGTATAGAAGGTTAAATAAAACAGCTTATCAGAATTGAAACTGCAGTTTTTTAATAGCTTCAGTTTGATATTGAAAATGTACTACTAAATAATTGCTTTTGGTCAATTTAGGAAAGGGATTCGAGCGAGGGACCAGTACCTCGTCTTGATACCTTCTTATGCTTATTATTGTCTATTACACCGCTAGCAATTACCAACATCATTGAAGAGGAAAATGATAGTACCTCTAGTGATCAAAGAAAAGAGTCCACGGAAAAACGTTGTCAGGCCTTGGTTTCTAGCTTACAGCAACTGCATGATTATGAAGCCTTGTTGACCCCACCACTGCCGGCAATTCTGTTGGCAAACCAAGCTGCTGTTAAAGCAATGATGTTCCTTTCAGGGCTAAGTATGGGAAGTGAGTACTTTGATGGGATGAAATTGAATGGCATGCCTGTCAATTGTGGTGAGTCCAGTAGATTTCAAGAGAGGTCTGTGTTTTGTCAGCCTTGTATCAGTTGCTGCTTGGATTCTATCTTGCATTCTTTTCAATTTGACTAAGTTTTAGAGTTTGCTTCCTCTTTTTTCCCACAACCCCATCCATGTATTTGTTTCTCTTTGTAAATTCTTTTTTCTTTTTTTTTTTTTTGGGGCAGATTGTTTTCAGACTGTATGGTCGAAAAATCTAATTAATCAATAGTGCATCTCTTATTTACTCTTATATGCATAAGTAGTTATAGTGGTAGTGTATGCTAATCAACACCAACAACAACAACTACGCCTCAATCCCAAACAAAGTTGGGGTCGGTGATATGAATCCTCACTTATTTCTTTAAGCTCAACTCATATTGTCATCATACCAAAATAATTTAAGATTAATAGGGAAAATTAGTTTTTATATATATATATATATATATATATATATATATATATATATATTTATTAATAAAATTAAAAGTTCTCTAACAAATTTAAAGCCTATTCCTAACTAGTAAGTATGCTAATCATCTGTAACTATTTGTAGCTGGGAACTTGTGGCACCTTATTGTTGAGGCTTGCATTGCTAGAAACATTTTGGATACATCTGCTTATTTATGGCCTGGATACGTAAAAGGTCAATGCAATCAAGTGCCTCGTAGCATTTCAGGCCCATTGCTTGGCTGGTCATCACTGATGAAGGGATCTCTCCTAACTCCTCCAATGGTCAGTGCATTGGTTTCAACACCCGCCTCAAGGTATGACAGATGTTGACAATTGGAAAGCTTTTCTGTATTTCTAGTTTGCTCACTTCACGCCATCATCGGCCAAGGTTATTTGGTCAAGCAGTAGGGTGTCCCAGTGCCACTGCTTAATGTGGCTGCTTTTAAGTTCATATTAGGAGTTTTTCTCCATATAGAGAATTAAACAATATAGAAATTTGTTCATAGCTTGATATAACGAGCATATTCTTTTAAAGAAAGCCTCAGTAGATTTAAGCAGTAGTTTTACGCCATGCCACTGGTTAATATGGTTGCTTTTAAGGTCATATTCGAAGTTTATAGTTATAGATGTATAAGAAAAGGGCTATCACTTCAAAATAATGGGCATATCATTTTCTGCTTAAGAAACATCTGCAAATTGTAAGTATTCACATCTGGTGCTATCTGGTAGAAAGAAAAGCTGATCTTCGGTTGAAAATCCCTTTCTTTCCTGAAGCCAGACATATCAGATGCTCTTTCTTGATATTTATCCAGTGGTATGAAAACTGAATTTAATAAGCTCATGGATTTGATGGAAGCTTAGCAGAAATAGAGAAAATATATGAGATTGCTGTCAATGGTTCCGATGAAGAAAAGATTTCTGCTGCTACTATTCTCTGTGGGGCCTCTCTTGCTCGTGGTTGGAATATACAGGTAACACATGCCATCTCTCTGGGATTAAAACCAGTATTTTGTACTATAGTAGCAGCAAACCCTCTTTGAGAGCCTTCATTACCTTAGGTCAAGTCTCCCCTCAAACATTGTGAGCATTGCCCAAAGAACAACCTTAACTGGATGAACAAAAAGGAGGAGAAAAAAAACATGAATAAGTGAACAATGTTATTAGTGAACAAGGTTGAGAAGCATTACCATTTGTGTTTAGATCAGCAACCCCCAGAAAGGGTTAAAATAAAGAAAGGTGGTAACAAAGATGGAGCGGAAGAACACTCACCTAGCCACCATCACTAATCCCTTATATCTATAGTATATTTGATTTTACTTTGAGGTGAAAATATATTCAGAAGGTACTCTGTTAAAAAATCTGGTATTCTAAAGTCATTCTTAAGTTCAAAACTGGGTGTCTTGTATATTTCATTTCTATGTCTTGCACACTCATTTACACTGTATTTTCATCTACATGCTTGCAGGAACATACCGTTCTATTCATCACTAGGTTGCTTTCACCTTGTGTTCCTTCTGATTATTGTGGAACTGAAAGCCATTTGATAAGCTATGCTCCAGTTCTGAATGTCCTTCTCATTGGTATATCATCTATCGATTGTATCCAGATCTTTTCTTTGCATGGATTGGTAGGTTAAACTTCCGCTGCACTTTTCTTGTTCTGAATTATGTTTGATGTCATTTATATGTTAATGTCGGTGAAAATCACATAGACTTGAATCAGATGCTAGCATACAGCTGCAGTGTTGCACTACTTTTATAGAGATAGGTTAACTGAACAACAATTTATAGAACTAAAGATCTGTTGAAAATAGGTTTTGAGAAAAGTATATTGAGTAGAGCTGGGCTTAAGATAAAGATGGAGAAACCAAACTTCTTCTTTCCTCTGTTACTGACGGTGTACTTAAAATTTCTCCAGGTTCCACAGCTTGCTGGTGTATTGATGCCAATTTGTGAAGCCTTCGGTTCTTGTGCTCCCAATGTATCATGGACTCTAATGTCGGAAAAGGTTAATTCACATGCTGTTTTCTCGAATGCGTTCACACTTCTGCTGAAGTTGTGGAGGTTTGATCAGCCACCCCTTGAGCATGTCACAAGAGATGTTCCTGTGGGATCCCATCTAACTCCTGAATACCTATTGCTGGTTCGTAACTCCCAGTTGGCATGCTCTGAAGATTTGCTTAAAGGTCAAAGCAAAAGCAAGCAATTGTCTAGAACTCCATGTCGATTACCTGAAGAACCCATATTTATGGATTCTTTTCCGAAACTAAAATGTTGGTACCGGCAAAATCAAGCATGTATTGCTTCACCTCTCTCAGGTCTCGTCCCTGGAACTCCTGTTCATCAGATTGTTGAAGCACTGCTGAACTTCATGTTCAGAAAAATAAATAGTGCTGGTCAGTCCCTTACACCAACGACTTCAAGTGGTAGTAACTCATCTGGGTCTGGCAACGAAGATATATCTCCTCATCTTAAGTTACCCGCATGGGATATTTTGGAAGCTGTTCCATTTGTGCTTGATGCTGCTCTGACAGCCTGTGGTCACGGGCGATTGTCACCACGTGAACTAGCCACAGGTTTAGACTATTTGATAAAGATTAATAAAATTAGAGTGCAATTGTCATTTGAATATAATGTCTACACTTAGGCTTCGAAGAGCGATCCTAAGCCAGTTGTCCATTGAGAGAGATGAAACACTTAAGCCAGTTGTCAGAGCTATGCGGCATATCACACAACCCCCC